GGCTTGAGAACCAGAAGAACTGATGATGTAAGTTCTAGTCAAGTCTCAATGCCCAGGGACCAGGTCAGCTGATGGTGTAAATTCTACTATGGGTCTAAGTCCAAAGGCAGGAGAAGACCATCAGGCAGAAAGAGGGAATTCTCTCCTGTTCAGCTTTTTGTTCTGTTCAGGCCTTTAATGGATTGGATGAGACCTGCCCACATTGGGAAGGGCAGTGTGCTTTACTCAGTCTGTGGATCAGATGTTAATCTCATCCAGACACACATTCACAGACACACCCAGAATAATGTTTAACCAAATATGTGGGCAACCTGTGGCCCAGCCAAGTTGATGCGTAAAACTAACCATCACAACTGAATTCTCCTGTCTGCTTCTGCATTTAATCCATTGGGATATATTGTTTTCATATCAGATTTCTTCTAGTATCTTTAATTTCCTCTAAATTGCAGTCATTATCCATTAGGTGCAAGATATGGAGGAAGGAGATTTGCAGTCACCAAGGAAAAGGGGTTAAGAGAAACCCTGATGAGAAAAAGCACAGTACTTTGGAGTCATTAAATGGAAAGGGGATTTTGTTATGGGTTTAATTGTGTCCCCCAAAATGATGTGAAGTCCTAATCCCCAGTACATCAGAATGTGACCTTATTTGGAAATAGAGTGAGTGCAGATATAATTATTTGGGTTAAGATGAGATCATACTGGAGTAGGGTGGATCCTTAACCCAATATGACTGGTATTTTTGTGAGAGGAGAGCACCATGTGAAGAGAGAAACACACGTGAAGAAGTCAGCATGTGAAGTCAGAGGCAGGGATTGGACGTATGCTGCCACAAGCCAAGGAATGCCTAGGGCTATTAGAAGGTAGAAGAGGTTAGGAAGGATCCTCTGCTAGAGGCTTTAGATGGAGCATGGCCCTGGCAACACCTTGATTTTAGACTTCTAGCCTCCAGAATTGTTGTGAGAAAATAAATTTCTGTTGTTTTAAGCCGCCAGTTTGTGTAATTTTGTTATGGCAGCCCTAGCAAGCAAATACAAGGATATATCCCTAAATAATTTAATATTCTCTGAGGTCATGTTTATGGTAGAGCACAGTCCAAAAATAGATGTCTTCCTTTTATCCCTGTCTTATAAAGTATAAACCATAGCTCTTTATTTCTGTAGCTCTTTATTTCTGCCTTTATGCCTATGTTCCTCAGAATAGCTGGAACATTATGCCACGTTCTAATTCTCTCTCCTCTTTTCTCCTTTTAGTTGTTCTGCTCATTCCTCCTTGTTGCTGTCGTCTGAGTTACCTCTCTTTAGTCATTGCAAACTATAGCACTTGCTACACTGTCCTCTTTTAGTTTCTTGCACTTCAGTTTGCATTACCCATCCAATGCCTGAAACTCTCAGATCTTTAATCTAACCTGCAGAGATCTTTTCCTCCACTCCTCCTCCCAGCCTTCTACCCATACTTGATTACTCATCCATGGTCACAGTGTAGACCTTGTCATTTCCAGCAACTTGAGTACAAATGTCTCATCCTTTGTTCCCCTCCAGCTACTGCCCCATTTAATATTCTACTCCCTGTCAAGTAAAATTTTCAAGAGTCGTCTACATTTTCTGTCTCCATTTCCTGATAGTGTACCCTCATTTTTTTAGAGTCAGGTTTATTTAGATATAATTTAAATACAGCAAAATTCACTCTTTTATGTGTACAGTTTGGTCAACTTTGACAAATATATACAGTCATATAACCACTACCACATTTGAGATATACGAGATTGCCATCATCCCCCAAAAATTTACTTGTGCCTCTTTGTAGTCAGTCATCTCCCCCATCCTTAGTCCCTGGCAACAACTGATCTGATTTCTGTCCCTATAGCCTTTCAGAAGTGTAGTGTGTAGACTTTTGAATCTGGCTTCTTTCGCTTGGTACATGCTTTTGAGATTCATTTATGTTGTTGCATGAATCAGTGATTTGTTTTTTCTAAATTTTTTATTGCTGAGTAGTATTCCACTCATGTACAGCTTTTTAGGTGGACAAATGATTTCATTTCTCTTGGGTAAATACCTAGGAATGGGGTTGTTGGTTGATAACGGTTAATTGTATGTTTAACATTATAAGAAAGTGCCAAAGTGTTTTCCAAAGTGCCTGTACCATTTTGCATTCCCCACATGTATGAGAGTTCTAGTTGCTTTGCATCCCTGTCAGCTCTTGATATTGTCAGTTTTCTTTTTTAATTTTAGCCATATAGGTGTATTATGGTGTTTCATTATGGTTTTAATATGCATTTTCCTAATGACTAATGATGATGTACATCTTTTTGTACAATATATCATCCATGTTTCTTCTTTAGTGAAGGATCTGTTTAAATCTCTTCTCCATTTTTTATGGCTGATTTGTTCCATTTGTTGAGTGTTGAGAGTTCTTTATTCTGGATGCAAGTACTTTATCAAATATGTGTTTTGCAAATATTTTCTCCCAGTCAATGCTATTTCTTGGAATTCTCTTATCTGTCTTTTGAAGAGCAGAAGTTGTAATTTTGATGAAGTTGTTTTATTGATTTTTTTTTTTTGTGGCTTGAACTTCTTGTGTCCCATGGGAGAAATTTTGGCCTAACCCTAGGTTACAACGATTTTCTCCTATGTTTTTTTCTTGAACAGGATTTCTCAACCTTGATGCTTTTGACATATTGGGCCAGATAATTCTTTATTGTGTGGGGCTGTCCTGTGTATCGTAACATGTTTAGTGGCATCCTTGGCCTCTGCCCACTAGATACCAGTAATATTTCCCCATGTTGTAACCATCAAAAACGTCTCTAAACATTGCCAAATGTCTCATGGTTGAGGGAAGTGGGGGTGTTAAAATCTTTCCCAGTGAGAACCACTATGTCTGAAGTTTTATAGTTTTAGGTTTCATATTTATATATGATCCATTTTGAGTTAGTTTTGGTATATGGTGTGAAGTAAGGGTCTAGCTCCATTTTCTTACATATAAATAAATATCTAATTGTTATTCCAAAACCATTTGCTGAAAATACTATCTTTTTCTCCAGTGAATTTCTTGGCTTCTTTATCAAAAATAGATTGACCATATGTGTGTGGATCTATTTCTGGACTTTTCATTTCATTGATTTATGTATCTCTCCTCACGCCAATACTACAACTCATAATTACTGTACTGCCTTGAAATCAGGTAGGGTGAGTTCTCCCGCTTTGTTCCTCTTTTTAAAAATGGTTATATTTATGCTAGATTCTTTGAATTTCTATATAAATTTTAGAATCATCTTTTCAATTTCTGTTTAAAAACCTTGCTGCAATTTTGGTTAAGATTGCCTTGAGTCTATAAATCAATTTGGAGAGAATTGACATCTAAACAATGTTGAGTTCTCTAATCCACAGACACAACAGTTTTTTCACTTTTATTTAGGTCTTTAATTTCTTCATCAATGTTTTGTTGTCTTTGGTGTACCAAACACGACAATGTTTGTGTTAGACTTACTGGTATTTTTAAAAATTTCAATTTCCTATTGTTCATCATAAGTATAGAGAAATACAACTGACTTTTTGTATTGACCTTGTGTCCTATGACCTTGCTAGTCTCATTTACTAGTTCTAGTACTAGCTCTTTTGTAGATTCTATAGGACTTTCCATGTAGACAGTCATATCAACTGTATTTTTTAAAAATATATATGCGTTATATCACTGGCTAGGATCTACTTATTCTTCTACTTGATCTACTTTGTGTTCTGACCTCAACTCTGAAAACAAGTGTCACCAACAACGTTTATGTAGCTGAATACAGTGAACACTTTTCTGTCCTCATTTTAGGAGCAATAAATAGTGTTTGACACCACTAACCATTGCATAACTTCTTAAAATTATTTTCTTTCTTGGCTTCTTCTGGTTTTCTTTCTTCTCTGGCTATTCTCTCTCAGTTTCCGTTGCTGCTTTATTTTCCCCTGTTAAACCTCAAAATCAAAGATCATAAGCTGTGGACCTGAATGTGGCCCAAATGTGGTTTGCAGAAAAAGAAAATTTTGGCACAATGTTTTAAAAATTTTGAAATAGAAGCACTGTAGGGCCGGCCCCATGGCTTAGCGGTTAAGTGCCTGCACTCTGCTGCTGGCGGCCCGGGTTCGGATCCCGGGCGCGCACCGACGCACCGCTTCTCCCGCCATGCTGAGGCCGCGTCCCACATACAGCAACTAGAGGGATGTGCAGCTATGACATACAACTATCTACTGGGGCTTTGGGGGAAAAAAATAAAATAAAATTAGAACACTTTAAAGTGTGCATGCAGTGCTTAGTTGGCCACAGGTCCCAATACTCTCTAATTCCAGGCAGATTTACTCATTTCTGTTACCTCCTTGCCCCTATATACATTTGAGTTTTTGACTTCTGCTTGAAATGTTGGAATGTTTTGGTTCTCGTCTAGATTCAGGGCTTTAATGGTATCTGTATACTTAAAAATCGCAAATTTATATCTCCCTTAAAATTTTTTTACTTTACTTCTCCCTCAAAATTTGTTTATATTTATTCAGCTGCTTATTTGTCATCCCCTCTCACATCTGTCAAAATATTTAGAGATTTGAGGGTCTTTTTATATTAATTAAAAAAGTGTAATGCGGGCTGGCCTGGTGGTGTAGCAGTTAAGTTCGTGCGTTCTGCTTCGGTAGCCCAGGGTTCCCTGGTTTGGATCCTGGGCGCGTAGCTACTCACCACTCGTCAAGCCGTGCTGAGGCGGCGTCCCACATAGAAGAGCTATAACTCTACAACTATGATATACAACTATGTACTGGGGAGAAAAAAGAAAAAGAGGAAGATTGGCAATAGATGTTAGCACAGGGCCAATCTTCCTCAAAAGAAAAAAATGTAATGCAAAGAATCGTGTGATAGAAACATAGCAACAAAATATGCAGAAAGAAAAGAATGTTGAACAGAGATTTTTAAAAATTATATTTTATAATGGGAAATTATAAGAGTATGTTTGCATGGGGAGAGGATTGATCCAGTAGAGAGGGGAAATGGGTGAAGGAAAGTGGGAGAATCACATATAAGAAGGAAATCATTAAAAAAAATGGAATGAGATGGGAAGTCCTTTGATAAGTAGACAGACTCTTTTTTTTTTTTTAAGTCACAAGATGAAAATCTGGGTAGATAATGGGATTGTAGATCTGGTGGTAGGAAGATAAGAAGTTCCTCTCCTGCTATTCTCTTATTGAAGTAGGAGATGAGGTCATCAGTTGAAAAGAAGGAAGGAGAGTTCAGTAGTTCTGAGGGGAGAAGATATAAAGTAGTCATTTTAGTGAGTCAACTCACCAAGAAAATATAGTAGGATTTCCAGGCAATGCTGAGTGCTCTTGAGGTTTAATATCATCATTTTAAAGGAAAACCAGTCTGGGTGTGTGTTTTCTTTAGCAGTGTGCTGCTGCTTGGATTCAGACGAGAAGTTTCAACAAGAACTGAGCTTTTGCTGGGCAAATAGGATAATGGGAGAAAAGGGCAAGAAAGTTAAAAATGTTTGCAAGGCAGTGATTATAAGGATGACTATGAACTCTCAGAATGATAAAGAGGGATATACAGATAAGAAAGGAATTGTGAAAAGCGTATATGTGATAGGATAGTTGTCTTCATGAGGTTAAAGAATTATTGCAGTTGAGGAGCTACAGTAGAGTAAGTGATCTGTGGAGGTCAGAGGATAGGTAGGAGAGCAAAAGGATACGTCTTTCATCAGTAGTGAGGAATAAACCATGAGACCAGCTCAAACCATGGTCAAGGGGGCTGAGAAATGAGTCAGGGTCTAGAGATTTTGCTGTACTGAGAGTTACAAAATGACTGGAATTCCCCTGCTTTAAGACCCTTCATGGCTCACTATCCCCTACAGAATGGAGTGCTCTCAAAAGAAAAAATTTAAAATTAATCATTCTCATATTCCTTTTATTTTCAAGTATTAAAAATGTAAAAAGCATGTTTTCAATAGCAATTTGATGCTATGGATTTGACTAATTTATCCAGCATAGAAGGGACTGAGATATTTTGGAATGGTGAAGGTCTACTGTTCCATAACCCCACAAGCCATAGATGAATAGTATTAACTTCTCTCAAATTTTTTTTCTCTGTGTATATTTATATAACTGATAATTAGGTAGTAGATAGTTGTGTATCTTTCTTTTTTTAACTTATGAGACAGCACTTGGTTAATGAATTTTAAACACTGGAAATGACTCTTCAAAGACAGAAGTCTTGTTTGAAAATGTTTGTGAAAATCTTTCTGAATTGTAATATATCTTTTTATGGATTCTGGGTCATTTGGAAATGAAATAAAAATCTGTATTCTCTTAAAAAACATTTGAGTTTGTCAAGAAATAAGAGTCCAGTAATAGACTATTTACAGATAATGAAAATCAATACATTATGTATCTAAGCATGTAGGTTGCAATCAATGCAATGTCATCTCATCTTTTTATTTAAATAAATAGATAAATGTAAAATGAAATTGATTCGTTATTTAACCAAAGATTTTAGATAAAGAATGAAAAACTACAAGTAGAGGAAACATGGTAAAGAGAAAAACAGACGTAATTAAGTTAGAAAATATAATAAAATTGTTAAGTTCGAGGTAGAAAAAATGGATACATTCCTAGCAAATCCAGTCAAGAAAAAAAACCTTTATGAAATAGCCTTAATATAAACCTATCAAAGCTTATAGGGGTGGATTGGTACTACTAAGGAAATTGAGAATGTTACAAAGTACCAGCTATCAAAAAGGTTTCTAGACATAATGGATTCACTGGTGAAATCTTTTATATTTTTAAGGAAAATTGAATTTCCTTGTATAAAATAAATATAGAACAACTTTGAACAAGGTTAAAAAACAAAGCAAGCCATTCTAAAATACTGATTAATTGGGGCTGGCCTGGTGGCGCAAGCGGTTAAGTGTGCGCTCTGCTGCGGCGGCCCGGGGTTCGCTGGTTAGGATGCCAAGTGCGCACCGACGCACCGCTTGGCAAGCCATGCTGTGGCGGCATCCCATATAAAGTGGAGGAAGATGGGCATGGTTGTTAGCCCGGGGCCAGTCTTCCTCAGCAAAAAAAAAGAGGACGATTGGCAGATGTTGTTAGCACAGGGCTGATCTTCCTTACACACACACAAAAAAATACTGATTAATCTTATTATGACTGTATATGAGTGAAGATGTTAAAGACTACGTTAGGAAATATGATTAAAAGTGTGATCTATAGCTATCAAGTAAGAAATGTGAAGATGTTGCAATATAAAGAAATTTATTGCTATACTTTATCAGATTTAATTGGGAAAAAAAGATGCTATAATGTAGTTTGATCAGATTTAGTGCTCATTCCTAATAAATTAATTAAATATGAAAATAAAAGAATACTTTCATAACATGATAGGAAGAATATTCTTAATTATTAACCAATACTAAATTTAAAAGGAAAATGCTTATAAAACTGGTTATCATTAGTATTTAATTCAACTTTGCTTCTTAGTGTGGTCTGTGGATTGGTGCCAGTCCATGAATTGCTTATTACTGGTCTGTCAAGAGAGAAGTACAAGAATTGAGAGGAAGTGTTTAAAAACTTTTGTAGTAATTTGACAGTAATTTTATGTTATTTTAGAACTAGGAATCAGACATTTGGGCTTATGTTTTGTATATTTTAAATTTCATTTTTCTAGTTATTTTTACTAGTTTATTATTTTTATTTACTTATTACTTTTTATTAGTATTTTAATAAAATATCAGTCTGTGATGAATTGGAAGTAGGAAAACTCACCCTTCCCAGAGATATTTTGAGAAGCTTTGCTCTGAGTCATGCCACTGAAGTAAGAGTAAACATTTGAAAGAGACAAATGTATCACTAGTCCATGGATGATATGGTAATATTATATAAAAGAGAGGAGCCAAGAGTCCACTAGAAACTAGTATAACTTTAAGAATTTAGTAAAGTGGTCACATGTAGAGGATATTGTAGCTTTAGGTTTGGAAAATTTTTTTGTTTTTTAAAATCAAATTGTAAGATTTCATCATTTAGGACCAAATTTATTGAACTAACTGTTAAGGAAGAGTAGAAATGCCAGTGATTCAATACATTAAAAGATGGGTAGTAATGAGAAGAGATCCAAAATGTAGTTAATATTGTGAAAAACATAGAAAGCTTTCCTTTTTCCAGACTTTGATGAGAATGTCATCAAATAGGAAGCTGTATGCTGTGTGAGTGGACGTGTTAATCTAAATGTTAATATGTATGGTAACTCAGTTCATGACTTAACATGTTTTCCTTCAAAATTATTGTTTTAGAGAACAGAATCTTGGCATTGTCTTCCTCAAGAAATGGACTCTTCTCACATCTTGGATACAACCCAGACCAGGTTTAATGTGAAAGAGGAAGGGACTGAAGTGACAGACTTCTCCTCTCTGGAGGAAGGTATATTGACCCAATCAGAAAGTCAAGTAAAGGAACCCAACAGAGATCTATGTTCTCCATTGCTAGGTAGTGCCTCTTTATTTTTAACCAGTAGTGATACCTCACATTTGTAAAATACTTTTAGGAACTGCAAGTCCTGCATCTAAATCCTTTCTTGAGGGTCAGCCTGGTGGCGTAGTGGTTAAGTTTGTGTGCTCTGCTTTGGCGGGCCGGAGTTCACAGGTTTGGATCCCAGGCATGGCCCTACACACTGCTCATCAAGCCATGCTGTGGCAGCGTCCCACATACAAAATAGAGGAAGATTGTTATGAATGTTAGGTCAGTGACAATCTTCCTCAAGCAAAAAAGAGGAAGATTGGCAACAGATGTTAGCTCAGGGCCAATCTTCCTCACCAAAAAAAAAAAAAAAAAAACCCAGAAAAAACGCTTTCTTGAGTTGAGGAGCTCTGTAGAGCCATATTCAAAGGTATTAGCTTAATATTCATTTTCCATGCTGGCTAGCTAGTCTAGTTATGTTAAATGTACAGTTGCCTCTCATTTTCTCTTGCCCTATTGCTCACTGAAGGCAGAAAGGTGATAGCTTCCTCTAGTGGGTGTGCCTCCTCAGTCCTGAATTTGTGGAGTTTTTCTTGGGGTAAACCATATATTATCCTTCATCTACTTCTCTTAGCAGTAGAGACTGCGTGATCCTTAAAAAACAAACAAAAAACAAATATCCATGCTTACCTCACTAGTGTCTGAGAATTAGTTAAGGCATATGTTATTATGCTCAGTTTTCAGATCCAAAAATTGAGATAAAGAGGTTAAATGACTTGTCTGAGGTAGATCTTACTGGTTTTCTCTGTTTCATATGGAACTGATTTATTAGCTCTTTACCAATGGTAAACTTTAAGTACCTTTCACATAGATAGATGTACTGTTACTACTACTTTGGATCATTGCAAATATAGAAGAATGCTTAACCAATATGGTAGTTTCATTTTTTTCTCATGCCTAAATCATAATTCAGACAAATATTATTTTGTTTGTCCTTCTGTTTTCTTCAGATTTTTTTTTCCCCAAAAATTGGAAAAAATGCAACAACCACCTTTTTTAGCATTAGCCTTTGCGGGCCGGCCCCGTGGCTTAGCGGTTAAGTGCTCACGCTCCACTATTGGCGGCCCCGGGTTCAGATCCCGGGCGCGCACCGATGCACTGCTTCTCCGGCCATGCTGAGGCCACGTCCCACATACAGCAACTAGAACGTTGTGCAACTATGACATACAACTATCTACTCGGGCTTTGGGGAAAAAAAAGGAGGAAGATTGGCGATAGATGTTAGCTCAGAGCTGGTCTTCCTCAACAAAAAAGGAGGAGGATTAGCATGGATGTTAGCTCAGGGCTGATCTTCCTCACAAAAAAAAAAAAAAAAGAATTAGCCTTTGTCAGGGGAATGAGATTCAGTCATGAAGTTGTCTTGTCAGTTTTGTAAAGGAGCATGAATAGGAGTTAATTCAACAAATTCTTTTCAAACATAAGCTAAAGCTATCCAAATCAAGATATTAGTGCCAATGCATTCTATGATGTGGATCATCAAAGTCAATTTTGGTTTCAAATTTTAAGGAAGATGTTGATAACATTAGAATTCCTTTGTGGGAGGAAATGATTATAATAGATGAAAGAAAACTTTGCTATAGTATTTGAAGAGCTGTTGTGCTAAAGAGGAAGTGACTTCTTTTTCTTTCTTTTGTTTTTTGTTTTTTGTGAGGAGATCAGCCCTGTGCTAACATCTGCCAATCCTCCTCTTTTTTTTGCTGAGGAAGACTGTCCCTGGGCTAACATCCATGCCCATCTTCCTCCTCTTTATATGGGACGCTGCCACAGCATGGCTCGCCAAGCAGTGCATCGGTGCGTACCTGGGATCCGAACCGGCGAACCCCGGACCGCCACAGCAGAGCGCGCGCACTTAACCGCTTGCGCCACCGGGCCGGCCCCCTCTTTTTCTTTCTTTCTTTCTTTTTTTTTTTCTTTTGAGAAAGCTTGGCCCTGTGCTAATATCTATTGCCAATTTTCCTCTTTTTCTTTTTTCTCCCCAAAGCCCCGGGACATAGTTGTGTATCATAATTGTAGATTTGTAGCTCTTCTATGTGGGATGCCCCTCAGCATGGCTTGATGAGCAGTGAGTAGGTCTGCGCCCAGGATCTGAACTGGCGAACCCCGGCCGCGGAAGTGGAACGTGTGAATTTAACTGCTACGCCACTGGGCCAGCCCTGCAACTTATTTTTCATTCATTCATTTATTTAACAACCATCTAAGTGCGTATTGTATATGGATGAAAGCTACCTTGTCTTTTGGGAAGACAGTCCAGTAAACAGAAAATAACAGTACAGTGGGATGAGTATTATAATGGTCTAGAGCAGGGGTCTGCAAACTATAGGCCACAGGCCAAGGCCTGGTTTTGTACTGTTCATGAGCTAAGAATGTTTTTGCACTTTTAAAGGATTGTAAAAACGAACAAACAAAAAAAGAAGTATGTATGACAGAGACCATGGGTGACCAACAAAGCTTAAAATATTTACTAGCTGGTCTTCTATAAAAAATGTTTGCTCAATTCCTAGTCTAGATGTTAAAATGAGAATGTATAACTTATAGGGAGGCTGTTTTCAACTTGTATAACTTATAGGGAGGCTGTTTTCAACTTGATGTAAGAAAGAACTTTCTAATTAAGCCATTTAATAGTGGAAAGGCTATATAACAACAACAAAAAAAGAAATGAGCTTTATGTCACTGCAAATTGTCAGGCAAAATTCTCTAATAGAAGATTTCCTATAGATAAAGTAGAACACTTGTAATTATTAGAGCAGATCCCTGGATCTGATGGTCAGAGGAAATTTCATTATTGCTGTTTTGTTATGTGTGAATACAGTCACTGTGGCGTGTATTGGTCTCACCAGTGGCAAATGTGGTGATGATGACTGGTGCCAGAATTATTAGATATCTCAAAAAAGAGTGATCCAAGCCGTCAACAGTTGTACAAATGTGAGGAAATGTGGAGTTTTTGTTGACAAACCTTCATGATTCTCAGACGGGTGAAAGACTTCTGTTATGAAGGTTTAAAACTGAGTCTCTAAGCCAAGGCCAAAGAGGAACCATACCAATTAGTCCTTGGCGGTAAAGGTTATTGTTAGCTTTCAGTTTCTCATTTTTAATTAATTCATGCAGTAAATAAATAATTCTGTTTTGAGTATCTACTAAGTGTAGCAGGTACTTTACTAGGTACTGAGGAGACAGCTATGAATAAAGCAGACATGGAGTTGACAGTCTGGGTGGAAAGCAGATAGACCAAAGATTAAAACAAGAGCGTGACAGTTATGATAGGGAAGGTGTGCAGTATTATAGGCATTCTGAAATCAAGGAAGTATACTGTAGCAACAGTGTTACATTCATGTTGAAAGAAAATTTAGTTTTAGCAAAACATTATGCATCCAGTTAATATTAAATAGAATTGGGTAGGAGAATTGGCTGTTGATTTTAGTGTTTTGCTTCTATTGATATTTAATTTTTTGTTTTGTAGTTGTATAAATGCTATAAGGAATAAGGAGTTTATAACTAGTTTGTAAGTATTTAAACACATCATAATAAGAATTATTAAAGTTGGCATTTAGGAATCCACAAGAATTTTCTTTTCTTTACATCAGCAATTTTCTTTCCTTTACATTCTCAAACTTTTTGGTCGCAGGATTTCTTTACACACTTTAAAATTACTGAGGACTCCAAAGAGCTTTTGTTTATGTGGGTTATTGGTATTTTTGCATGTTAGAAATTAGAACTAGAAATTTAAAAAATATTTATTAACTCATTAAAAATAAATTAATTGCATGTTAATATAAATTACATAGTTTTTTAGAAAAATAACTATTTTCCAACACAAATATATTTAGAAGAGTAGCATTGTTTTACTTAAAAAAAAAAAAAATCCCTGTAATGCCTGACATAATAGAAGACAGGTAGATTCTGATATCTGCTTCTGCATTCAATATGTTGCTGTATCATACATGATGTAGCTTCTGGAAAATTCCACTGTACCCTTGTGAGAGATTGAGAGGGAATAAGGCAAATGATATCTTAATATTATTTTGAATCTAATTTTGACCCTAGGCATCTCCGTGTTTTAGGGATGCCCAGGGGCCTGTGGACCGCACTTTGATATAAGATGGAAAGAACCAGTCATAATGGTTAAGAACACTTGATAGAATGTTTAGGTTCAGATCTTACTCTGGCTGTTAAGCTATTTGAATGTGGACAAATTACTTAATATTACTTAAGTTTCGTAATCATGTTTCTTCACCCATAAGATGGGTATAATAATACCTGTCCTTCAAGGTTGTCATGAGGATTAAGTGAAATATTGTATGTTCAGTACCTGGACCTTGTCAGGCTATCAGTAAATGGTAGTTGCTGCTGCTGTTGTTATATTATCATTCTAATGCTTGTAGAAACTTCCAGATGGCAGCATATTTGGGTCCTTTGAAGTATTAGGTAAGCTAAACAATTAATTTTCAGCATTCCCAACATTTTTATATTTGAAACTTTGCAGTCATACAAGACAGCTTTGCTTCTCCTGATTTGCCTTTGCTGACATGTTTGACACAAGATCAAGAGTTTACCCCTGATTCCTTATTTCACCAAAGTGAACTAGATTTTGCACCTCTGAGGTAGGATGATTTATTTTTTTATTTGCATATGACCTTTCTCCTCTTTCTTTTCTTGTTCTAAATTGTTATTAATATTAATGACTTTAGGCTAAGGTGAGACTTTGGGGTGGGAATTAGATACTCTCAGTATGCACTCTGAAGGTTACAAGGCCCTAAGTTGAGACATGATGCATAGTAATTTGGCATAGTAACTATATGTGTAAAAATGAGCCAGGTGATTGTAGCTTATTTAAAAATAATTTCTAATATATTCAAGCATTTCAGGCATATTTTAATTTAGAAGGCGTACTGGATTTTCCTCCTAATAAATCTCCCCTTTTGCTGCCCAACAGCCCATCCCCACTCTGTAAAAAGCATTCATTTCATGGTTACTCACTTGTTTGGCACTCTGATTTTAGTCAGTTGATGTTGACTGAGCCTAGTTATCTCTCCCTGGCTTATAGGAGGTGTGAATATGAAATAAAGTAACGAGATTTTTCTAGCAGACATATCCAAATTAACAGTTATTCCAAATTAATGCCCTTTAAAATAGTCATAATGGGAGACAAGTCTGGAATTCTCCAAAACGTATTTGGAATTATCCAAGAATATAAGTTTTCCTCTTTTGGTACTAAAAAAAAGACACCTTAAATTAAAAACTATAGATATTTACAGAGTAAAAACCTCTGCCCTTCTGTTATGTATTACTTTTATGAAAAGTGTTCTGTACACATAGTCAACCAATGGTTAGGTTATTGTTGTGTTTTGGGGGTAGATCACTTCTTAAGTGGCTTTCAAGAGCATAATAATTGACTAGTAAAAGAATTAATGCAGATTAAATGAGTATTAAATTATGGTAGGTGATAAACATTTTAAATAAAGTTTGAATTTTTCATTTAAAGAATCATGTTTTTGGACAATATGAAAATATTCGTATTTTTTTTGGCACTATTGTTTTAGGAGAAGCCTAGGAAAATATCAGGTCATGGGATAGTAGTTCACCTTCTGTGTACAAAAAATTGGCTTTGTTCAGTCATTAGTCACCTTAAAGGAATTTGAAATTAGAACTTTGTTTTTCAACACACTTTTGAAATAACCTCAATTTCAGTAACATATCAGTTTTGTATTTTTTCATGTTACTATTTAAAGAAATAAATGTTTTTAATGTGTTATTTATTTATTTATTTTTAACTGTATATTTTCAGGGGAATTCCTGGTAAGTCTGAAGACACTGAATGGTTTTCTCGACCGTCGGAAGTTAGTGAAGCTTTATTCCAGGCAGCCTCAGAAGTAGCTTCAGACTTAGTTAGCAGTTGCTTTAGTGTATCTCAGCACCCACTTGTAGGTAGTACAGTTGAATCTCAGCGCTCTTTTTTACCTCCTGAACAAGGGCCTGAAGAAGAGACTATTTCATCTGATACAGTCGATGAACTGAAAACCCCCAAAGACTCTGATGGTTATGCTGCTCTTTGTTCAAATATGTCATGGAAGACACAAGAATTTATACAGGAGCCAGAAACCAATTTAGCTGATAAAGATCAAGTTTCTTTTTCAACTTCGTCTGATACAAGTGATGAATGTATAACTCCTAAAGGAAGTGACAGTTTTGAAGCTTCTTGTTCATATGTGCAGTATGGGAAACAGGAAGCTGTATTACAGCAGTCAGAAAAATATTTAGCCAGTGAGGACCATGATTCTTATTCAGATTCATCTGACACAACTGATAAAAATAAAATCCCCGAGGAAAGTGACAGTTTTGGTGCCCCTTTTTCAGGTATGCTATGGAGCGAACAGGGAGCATCACACCATCCAGAAACATGCCTAATCATTAAGGACTGTGTTTCTTGTCCACAGGAGGTTGCTCCTCATTTTAATAATAAAATGTCATATTCTTTCTTGCGTTGTTCATTGGAAAGAAGAAGAAAAGGGGTTCCTTTGATGTCTGATAGTCATTATTTTGCGAGTGTTTGTTTAAGGGCTCCAGCTGAGAATGAGGTGAAACAAAAGATGGATTCTTTAGTGGGTTGTGAAAGAAATGAAAAAGGTCTGGGGAAAGAATTATCTCAATGTTTTGAACTAAAGGAAGATAGAAATACTTTAGTATTTTCAGAGGGACATCCCAGATCTTCAGAAATACAGTGTAATGAGAATGTTGTAGTTCCAGAAAATTCTGTAACAGTTTCAGAAACACATATACTCTCTAGGGGACATGATACCTCTAAGATGGAGGCTTCTGGTGGTCCTCTTCAGACTACTAAATCCAACTTGGATGAGATGTCAGAGCAACTGTATTTTCAAGAGGAAAGAAACCAAAAGGCAGCTTCTGCTTTTGGTGGGAAAAATGTTGATGCTACTGAAAATGTAGCCTTTGAGGCAGTTATTGCCTCTATTGAGCCTTCCAAGAAAGAGAGTACAGCGAATGAAATCCAAACTGACATCAATAAATCTTCAACAAATGACAGCCAAGAAAGTGAACCAAAAAATCCACATCTTTCCCTATTAAGTTATAATGATGAAGAGTCTTTCTTTGATAAACTTAGTCATCCACGCTATCAGTCTACTCCTGGAGTGTTTGAACCAGCAGCTTCAAAACCATTGTTGTATAAAAAAGATGATGATGATAGCTCCCTGTACCAGCATGCTAATTTAAAATCACTCCCCAGTGTTCCTCAGGAAATGTTCATTAAGCCACTTTCTCTTATTCCAGAGCTTAAGTCATCTGCTTCTTTAAATGAAAAATCTCACAGCCAGGCTGTTGGTCTTTGCAAAACACAGTCAGCTTTATTTCAGTGTAATATAGACAATAAACCATTTCTTCCCCTTGGGAAGATAAAGTCTGTTTCTGCTCTTGACCTTGAAGAGAAGGTAGGATCTTCAAACATTATTTATCCAGTGAAAGTATCGACTTCAGATTCTTTGGTTTTGCAAGATTTAAAGCAGCAAATCTTTGAAGAAGTTGCAGATTCCTCAAACTATATTTTGGGTAAGATTGTAAACTTTAGTAATGTCATTGTAGGTCCATCTGCAACTGTAGGAAACAGCTTTTCAGCAAACTTGGTGGCATGTGATGCAAAGTCATAGGTGCTTTACCAATGACCCATGATGCATCATTAATTGCAGTCAGCCAAGAAACATTGCTGAAAGCTGATATAGGCCTAGGTGAAATTCCTTGGCCTATAGGAGCCAAGCCCAGTTTCACTATACATACAATTATGCAAAATGACTCCTATTTTGTAGAGGGCCTGCAGGGGAAGGCTGAATCTGACATCTATACTCTGGATGATGATACTGAATGCTGTAGCCTAGATGAAAATGCTCTTGTATGCAGTAAAAGAGATGCTGAACTACAAAGAGAGGTGAGACATCATAAAATGATAGTTGGGGGAAACATGGTCTTTTCTAGTATTGTTTCAGGAAATGGTATTGTTGTTTGCTGTTATTTTACTTTTTACTACTTCCCAGATATATGACCAAGGTGACTTGACTGGTGAGTGCATTGAGCTGGCAGGTTTAGAAAATTTGCTTGATGATCTTGAGATTTGTGACAGCTCCCTGCACTGGCAATCTACTTTACAACTACCATCTAAGGAAGAGAGCAATTTTGAAGAGCCCGTAAGTTTTTCTATTTGACATTTCTTAGGGGGTAGGGAAACAAGTATTTTAGTTGAAAAATGGGGATGAAAGTAAAGGGGCCATTTATCCCTCCTAGTACCAACTTGTGACTTGTCATCTGGTCGTCATCTGATATCCAGAAATATGCTCCATTGATTTGTTAGAGGTTGGCATAAAAGAAATGTTTGTGTTTCGTAGACTGTAAGACTTAGTGAGTTCTGTAGTGTCCTGGAAAACGCCATCCTTTGGAGCTCCCGGACCTTTCTTTTTTTTTAAAGATTTTATTTATTTATTTTTCCCCCAAAGCCCCAGTAGATAGTTGTCTGTCATAGCTGCACATCCTTCTAGTTGCTGTATGTGGGACGCAGCCTCAGCATGGCCGGAGGAGCGGTGCGTCGGTGCGCACCCGGGATCCAAACCCAGGCCGCCAGCAGCGGAGCGCGCACACTTAACCACTAAGCCATGGGGCCGGCCCCCCGGACCTTTCATTTTGAGGCATCCTAACTCCTCCAAGTTGTACCAGCAAGAACCTTTGGGACAGTGTGAAGATTAGACTCATTCATGGAGACATTCAATTGTGCTTTTTTTTCCTTCTGGCCTACAATGTACAAGCCTTGGAATAGGCCCTGGAAGTATTCAAGTATTTCTGTTTAGAGGCTCCTGAAAGATTTGACTTCAGAGGTATCTTGAAAGTTACAAGAACCAGTGTTTTCCCAGGAAGGATACTGAGGTGCTTAATGTCCAAACTAGTCAGTGTCCCCAAAGGGAACTAACTACCCTCTTCCCAAATGAGCGACATACCATGTATATATACATTCCTTCCCTCTCTCTCTTTATATCGTTACTATCATTGTGTCTGTGTGTGTACTAGAAAATGGTAACGTTGGGGTGTTATAAAATTCTGTGTCACCCTTTCTGTATTACAAGCCTTCATTTTCCTGGATCTTTGGACCCCTTGGCTTTAATGTTCCTCTGGTCCCATTGCCCATCCTCTTTTATCTGATACTGTCAGCTCCAGCCTGGGTCCCACTTCTTTATAATATATCCTTATAGCCTGTTAGTCATTAAATACAGTTAGATAATATATGTTCATGTACTTCATGTTACTTTCTTTTTCCTATTTTCTGATGTGTAAGGTTAGTATTTCATTGGAAAGCTATTAGTTTAGGTTGCAACCATATTTAGACCTTTAGTTCCAGACAATTAAGAAGAGAAAATGAACAAAGATATGGTATTGAACTTTTCCTCCTTATTTATAATTTAGTGAATTTATAGAAATTTTTGATATAGAGAACTGTTAGTGTTAGCGCACCAGGTCTGTTTTTGCCCACTGCCCAGAAAGCCAATCACCAAGACGACAAGATTGCGGAGCGAGAGGGTTTAATCACAAGGCAGCCAAGTGAGGAAAACGAGAGAACAAATCTCAAATTCACCTTCCTGAAAATAGGGACTCAGGGGTATGTATGGGGAATGGGGCAAGGTGGTCTGAAATGATTGGAGGTGAGGAGAGATGAGGTAATTGATGATCTGCGCAAGTGTAGTCTGCCTTCATGCCTCTGTAGGACAGATGTTCACAGAATGGCAGCATTAGCATGCCCTGAGGGTGGAGTTCCAACCTCTTGCTGTCAGAAGGGCCCAGTTGATCGGTTGGTGGTCTCAATCTGGCCGAAGTGGACAAGGGGTTCAGTTCCTGAAAAAATAGCTCAAACATCCATTACCATGGTGACCCTGACTCCAGGGGGATGTTACCTATAGGAACGTGTGAGTCAGATAGCATATTACCTAAACAGCACAGTTAACAATGGGTAAGTTTATCATGCAGATTTAAGTCCTCATCTTCTATTCTGATAAGTTTCTAGGTAAGGCCATCCCCCCCTTCTTCCTGGTACAGGAAGGAAGATACCTTTACAGATGGAGATTTTCTTTTCAAATTTAAATGTATCTCATAAAGGGTAACCAAAACTAAGAATGGGCTTAGCATGAACCCACCCAGATACCCGAGATGTCTATGGTGATGGCCTATTCTGGGGGCAGGCCTCCCATCCCAAACTCCTTTGGTTAGTTAGTGGGAGTGGGGGCCAAAATGTCATTCAGGCAGAGACATATTTTGAGTTGGCAAATTCCAATCCCCCATAGTTACTAGTTGCTTAATCATCAATGGCTGTTTGCTGGTTTCATTAGGTTAGTTTTATTTTCTTCAGCATTCTAAAGTAAGCATTGTTTAATTCTAATTTTCAATCTCATAATAATGGGGATGAAAATTATAGCTAATACTCTGTGCTTAAATACTATGCTAAGAGTTTTACTTATGTACATCAATATGTTTAGTCCTTTGGTTAATCCTATCAGGTAGGATTGTTGGGGATTATTATTATCCCCATTTTGCAGTTGACACTTAGAGGGTTTAGGAAGTTGCTCAATCATTTAGCAAGTAGAGGAACTAGTATTTGAAACTAAGCTTATGTGTACTTAACCACTATACCATAAATCGCTTCTTTGTTTAACTATTCTTCATTGAAACCAAAGCCAAGATTTTTGCGTTGTTTTGGCAAGAGTGAAGGTTTTGAAGGAGATTTGTCAAGGTCAATTTCAATAAGATTGAGAAACAAAATATGATCAATTTTGAACTTAGAAGTTTCTAATTTTTTTGATTGTACTACTTTTGTAACTTGTATCAACTTTTCTTATAGATAAAATTTATTTAAAGAAATGAAGATATATATTCAGTTAATGGTGATGTGCTGAGATTAACTCTGACCACTACTCCAAATTTTATTTGCTCTTAACTGTAGCATTAAGTATATTTTTTCAGGCAAGGGAGGGTGCTGTTCCCTGTATTGTCCTTCGCTCTGAGCTCTATTCTATGATCTGGGAGTTACATAGTGCCAGTATTAGGGAAACAAGGAGCCAGATATGGCAGTAATCTTCCTGGGTGGCTCAGCTTGCTCTCAGGGGGTTTGAAACTCCTTGGTTTCTTCCTTATTCTCATCTGTATCTCAGAAGAGTCATTCATACTTGTTTGTCTCACTTTGATACCTACCTATCATTCTCTAAATGATTATTTGGGTATCCACTGATGTATGATGTAGCTTGGGACTATGAAAAGACTGTGGAGATTTGGAGTCAAAACTCTGTTCAGTTATTTGTTAGCCTCGTGCCTTGGGCAAATAAATGACTTTGGAGGATCATTTTTCTCATCTACACAAAGAAATAGGAGTAGTACTAATCAACCTCATACATTATGTTAAATGGAGTAAGGTATGTCACTTATATAGTGCCTGGCTGTTGGTTCTCTTCACTTTACCGAAACTAGACTTACTAGACTCTCACCAGTGGTCTCTTGTTCTCCATTGTTATTTTGTTTTTTCTTTCTCCTTGTCCCTGGTCGCAGCATATTACATCTTTTAGCCTCTGTGATAAAATACTGTTTTAGTATCCCTTATTTTGATCATGTAACTCTAAATATGATTTAAGTTTCACTCTTTAGATTTCGTTTTTGTTTTTGTTTTTGCTGAGGAAGATTAGCCCTGAGCTAACATCTGTTGCCAATCCTCCTCTTTTTGCTGAGGAAGATTGGCCCTGAGCTAACATCTGTGTCCATCTTCCTCTATTTTGTATATAGGATGCCGTCATAGCATGGCTTGATAAGTGGTGTGTAGGTCCGTGCCTGGGACCTGAACCCGCGCACCCCGGGCTGCCAAAGCGGAGCGCACGAACTTAACTACTACACCACCAGGCTGGTCCCTCTTTTCTTTTGTTTTGTTGGTCCTCCGTCCCCCTAAAGACCTAGTTTCCTCTCAAGGTTTAAATGATTTTCTCTGTGTGTATGTTATCACCTCTATTTTTAGACCCTAACATTTCTCCTGAGGTAGATCCATATGCTATCTTGCATGAAATTTTCTTCTGAACATTCCCATCAGCTCAAATTCAATTTGCCTGTATCAAAATAACTCATTTTTTTCCTAAACAAATTGTAGATTTTCTCAGTTCTTATAGAGGTGTTAGCATTTCTTGGTTTCTTGGTGTCTTTGATTCTTCCTTCATTATTGATTAAAAACTGGGAGATAAACCAATCTTGATTTTTTTCCCTCCTGATTCCTCCCATTTTCAATTAGTAATGAAAATCTGCTCATCTCTTAAATACTTCTCATCTTTTACATTGTACATTTTCTTGTGTATTACCTACTCTAATATCTGTATATTTTTAATCTTTGATATAATGAAATTTTATTGAAGTCAAGGTTGGAATAGAAATTTTTTCTTCTTACATTTGGAAGCTCTAGGGAAAAACTGCTGTTAAACACACGCAAGTATCTATCAATCATATATATGATATATATGTTAATGAGCTGCACTTCAAAAAAGTCTCCTTTAGGAGTGGGTTAATTGAAAACTGAGAACTTTGTGCTATGTTTAGAGCAGGGCTTTTCTGCTCTATTGTCATTTTCAGTTTAATAATTCTTTGTTGTGGGAGCTGTTCTGTGCATTTTAGGATGTTTAGCAATATCCTTGGCCTTTACTCACTAGATGCCAGCAGCATCCCCCCCACAAAGTTATGACAGTGAAAAATGTTTCCAGGCGGGGCCAAATGTTCCTTCGTGGGAGAGGTGGGTGGCTGCAACATCTCCTCCAATTGAGAACCCCTGGTCTAGAGAAACCTATATGGGTAGTAGAAGTAGAATATTCATTTCCACACCCTGCCAGCTTCCTAAGAATGTTCATTACTACGCGATGAAAAAACTTTGATGAAAAAGGATAGAAAAATTCATGCTTATGTACATTTTTAGACTCCCTTGTGCAAGGGTATCACTGGAATCATCTTTTTAGGAAAATAAAGAAACCTAAAAAGTAGTATGTTTTTATATGAGAATACACTGTGAATTTGGTGATAAGTTGTGTGTGTTTATGTACTAACATCACCAATAATGGTTTCTCATTTTTTTGTGTGTGCAAGGACTTGTTGGGATCTGATGAAACCTGAGGAACTTCTTTTTCAGCGTTTAACTTTCGCTTTTAGTGAAGCATTTTACTTCACTACAGTTTATATTTCCCAATACTTTTGTTTCAAGAAATTTGAGGACTTGTGGTTTTTGGTAACTGATCACCAATACAGTTCTTTGATGTTTTTATTTTTCTTCTAAACATTGTGGATTTTTGGAAAATATTCCTGTTCTCTTTTCCCTCCTTTCCTCTTTCCTTTCCACAACACACCTCTCCTTCTTAAAAAGAAATCCTTGAGCTTGTCAATAATAATATCATAGTTCAAATCCTGCAGGGGGGCTGGCCTGGTGGCATAGGGGTTAAGTTTGCGCGTTCCGCTTCGGAGGCCCAGGGTTCTCTGGTTTGGAGCCTGGGTGTGGACCTACTCACTGCTCATCAAGCCATGATGAGGCAGCATCCCACATAGAGGAGCTACAACTCTACAACTATGATACACAACTATGTAGTGGGGCTTTGGGGAGGGAAAAAAAGAAAAAAGAGGAAGATTGGCAACAGATGTTAGCATAAGGCCAATCTTCCTCAAAAAAAAAAAAAACAAATCCTATAATGATCATACTATTACAAGGAGCAAACTTCTCAGTAATAGAACACTTCTAGGCCTCCTGTCTGTAATATTCTATACAGGCTGACTTCCATACCCTCAGAATAATTTGTAGAGCCTTCTTGGAATTGACCAAACAAGATATGACCTGTATATGAATTTAGGAAGATTGAGAATATGATCTTAAGTAACTGGTATAACTGCTTAGTATTCATTTTCATAAAAATGAGATTTGTTTTTTAGCAGATGAAGTCTAAAATTAGAGTTATTTTCTTCATTTTTTTAATCTCTTTTCATAGGTAGGTCATTCTAATGTGGCCATTAATCAGTCTTTTTCATCTGTATTGCTGCCATTTGTTCCTCATGAGCCAACCAGAGAGTCGGAGTATCGCTCTTCAGATCTCAGAATGTTGAGGGTATCTCCCGACACTGTGCCAAAGACTGTCAAACATTTAGCAGGTATGTAGAAAAGGAGATAGTAAGTGTCCTTATGGCTAGCTTGTTAAAAATATCTTGCTATGGCTAACTAATTTTTTATTTTTGAACTCCTGCAATAATGTTAACTTTAGATTAGGCATATTTATAAATCCTCAGATCTTTCGTTAGATGAACCGTTTGATTTTTCATTGCATTTTTAATGACAATGTTTAGAACTGAATTACGTGGAAGAATCTAATATTAGAGTCAGTTTGTTTCTATATTCCTTTCTGTGACTTGAAGGGAGAAAGGAATTAATTGAGCACAAGAGGACAGGAGTGGATGCAAATAAGTTTGTAGAGAGGAATTTGAGGTAGAAAGCAAGATTATCTGCTGAGGGAGATGGGGAGTGGTAGAGGTGGGTTAGGGGGTTTGAGGAGAGTGGCTTGGTGGAGGTTCATAGTTTATGTTGGAGTGAATAGGAGATGGAGCTGACCAAAGACTAGCAAAAGAATTGGCAGGTAGTTCTGAGAAGGCAGCTGAGGTTGGAGATGATTTTATAACGTTGTCAGGCTGTATAGAATGTCTAATTTTTCTCTACTAAAACTTAGGAATAGAGAAGATGAATTACAGGATTGATCCTTGGTTGAGGGATTTGTTGAGTGGGTGAGTGTGGTGGCAAGATAGCAGTGGAAGGGAATCAGTGAGAGGAGTTGATCAGCTCTTGGTTTCGGCCTGCATAGGAAAAAAGAGAAGCCAGAAGACTTTTTAGTCTGGGAGAAAACAGAGGGAACAGAGGTTTCTATATAAAGTTGAATAGATGAGGTGGGTATAAGTTACTGAGAGAGCTAGAAGAATGCGTGATTTTGCTCAGATTGAGTTAGTACATTTAAATGGGGATCATATTGAAGGGTGATTAGATCCATTGCATGGCCCTGGGATTGGACAGGAGAGTTGAATAAAGATCACTGGGGTAAAGTAAGTTGAGATTTTGAGGCTAGCTTCTTGGATTGGTTACCTACGTTTAAATATTTTCTGATTAATGTGGGATTTGGGGTTTAGGGAAAGCCTGTGAACCAGACCTTAAAGTCTTCAAAAAATGAATGGGAGCAACTAGGAGTTGCAAGGAGAAAGTGATAAATGGAGGATGGAGTGATAAATGGAGTGATAAATGGAAGCTGTGTGTGGCCTAAGCCTCAAAAGGACATTTTATTTGTATGTTTGTTTGTTTATTTGAGGAAGATGGAAAGTAGTTAAATGCCAACTTCCATCTCTCCCTGTTTCCAAAGTCATGGTATGTGGGAGAGGGCTGCAAGGGCAGTAGTATTGTCAAGGGGAAAATCAAGTTTCTTTTTCTTTTTTTTTTTTTTAAGGTTTTTCTTTTGTGTGTGAGGAAGATCAGCCCTGAGCTAACATCCATGCTAATCCTCTTTTTGCTGAGGAAGACCAGCCCTGAGCTAACATCTATTGCCAATCCTCCTCCTTTTTTTCCCCTTTTTCTCCCCAAAACCCCAGTAGATAGTTGTATGTCATAGTTGCACATCCTTCTTGTTGCTGTATGTGGGATGCTGCCTCAGCATGGCTGGACAAGCGGTGTGTTGGTGCGCGCCCGAGATCGGAACCCAGACCGCCAGTAGCAGAGTGCGCACACTTAACCGCTACACCACGGGGCCCACCCGAAAATCAAGTTTCTTGTAAGGCAAAAAGTTGGAAAGTATTCAGTGAAAAATTTGAGAAAGGTTGTTTATTAAATAGAATGGTTTCAAAGAGCACAGAGGAAAGAAGGGAAAGGGGGAATAAATAGAGAGGAACTCAGGTAAGAAAACAGAGCAGGAATAACATGTGGCAACAGGAGACTGGTAATATTTGCCTTTTGTCTGTACCAGGGATTTCAGTGATGAGCGAGGTTGAAATGACTGGCCTCAAATATCCTAATTTTATCAGAAGTAATTTCGATGTCAGAACTGTCTGAGGGTCCCAGCTCATATCTGGTCTGGTCTCAGAGATGAGATGAGGACTGCCCTAGGATTTGAGAAAGGCATTGTGTCTGAAAATGTCTTTTTATGGCTCTCTTGTACAAGTTATAGCATGGCTTGGTAAAGAATTCTCAGATTGCAGTGTGTTGTTCTCCCACCTCCCACCCCTGCCATTACATCCTTTGAAATTGTCCTGAAGTTCTTGGATATTCTGTTCTGTTTTTTTCTCTTTGCATTTCAGTTTGGGAAGTTTCTATTGACCTACCTTAAAGCTCTCTGATTCATTCCTTGGCATGTTTAGCCTATTGATGAGCCCATCAAAGGCATCCTTCATTTTTGTTATATATAGTATATTTGATTTCTGTCGTTTCATTTTGATTCTTTCTTAAGAGTTTTCATCTTTTGGCTTACATTACTCGTCTGTTCTTACATTTTGTCCACTTTTTCCATTAGAGCTCTCAGCTTATTAATCATAGTTATTTTAAATTCCTAGTCTGGTAATTTCAACTCTTTGCCATATCTGAGTCAGGTTCTGGTTCTTGCTTTGTCTCTTCAGATTGTTTTTTGCCTTTTAACATGCCTTGTAATTTTTTGTTGAACATTGGACGTGATGTATTAGGTAAAGACAACTGAGGTAAATAGGCCTTTGTTGTGAGGTTTTAAGTTTATGTGGCTGGGAGTTAGACTGTTTGCTGTAACTGTGGTGTCAGACACTAAAATTTCCTCTTGTGTCCTTGTTTTTATCTCTCCTGTTGTCTTGTGGTTTCCCTTGAGACTCATTCTTAAATAGAGTCTGAACCTTGCTTGTATTCTTTCGTTTGTAATCTCTTATTATACAGGAGCCCTGTTGATGTAGTGGTAATGTGTGGAGAGGAGAGGTTGCATTATAATCCTGTGATTAGGTCTCAATCTTCTAGTGAGCTTGTGTCCCTGGACTCTTATATATACAAGTGCTTCTCAGCATGTTTCCCTTTCTTAGGTGAAACAGGAAGGCTAGAGGGGGCTGGAGCTGGGTATTTTCCTTCTCCCAGGTTGGTTAGGCTCTGGTAAAACCAGCTCAGGCTCTGGTAATGTAGTTTCCCTTGAGGTCAGTCTATTGGTATGGAGAACAGAGGGCTCTGGGCTTCTTCTTTTTTTTTTTTTTTTTTTTTTTAAAGATTTTATTTATTTATTTTTTCCCCCCAAAGCCCCAGTAGATAGTTGTATGTCATAGCTGCACATCCTTCCAGTTGCTGTATGTGGGACGCGGCCCCAGCATGGCAGGAGAAGCGGTGTGCGCGCAGGATCCGAACCCGGGCTGCCAGCAGTGGAGCGCATGCACTTAACCACTAAGCCACGGGGCCGGCCCTGGGCTTCTTCTAAAATAGCTGCTTTTCCCCTCCTCCTGATAGAAATATGAGGGTGTTTTTGTCCCATCTTCATCTTGAGAGCTTTGTGGGGCTCCTGGAAGTAAAGCTCATGAAAATGTGGGATCTCCCCTAAGGCTGGGTCCCAGGAGTTTTTATCTCTGAAGTGAGTCCATGCTTAGCCTCTAGCAGTTTGTCAATTACAGTTTAATTTTTCCTACCAGTTCCTGGCTTCAGGGGCTTCTGCTCTGCATAGTCTCTGATTCTCTGTATTCACCTCCCTCCAGTTTTCCAGGTGGTGGTTTACCCTGTGAACTCAGTTCTCTGATGGATCTAAGAAGAGTTGTTGATTTTCAGTTTGTTTAGCTCTTTTCTTGTGTGAATGGGAGTGACTTCTAAGCTTTTTACGTGTTGGACAAGAAAAATCCCTTTTTTTAAAGTGTTCAGATAATATCATAAAACCAACTAAGATAGAGCTTTGGAAGGAAAAATGATATATTTAGAATGAAAATTGAAACTGTCTGTATGATATATTTATTTATTTATTTTGTGAGGATGACCAGCCCTGAGCTAATATCCGATGCCAATCCTCCTCTTTTTTTCGCTGAGGAGGACTGGCCCTGGGCTAACATCCGTGCCCATCTTCCTCTACTTTATATGGGATGCCACCACAGCATTGCTTAACAAGTGGTGCGTCAGTGCGTGCCCGGGATCCGAACCGGCGAACCCCGGGCTGCCACAGCAGAGCGTGCGCACTTAACCGCTTGTGCCACCGGGCCGGCCCCTGTATGATACATTTAGAATGAAAATTGAAACCATCTGTCATTAGCTTTTTTTTAAACAGCTTTATTGAGATGTAATTTGCATACCATACACTTCATCTATTTAAAGTGTATAGTTCACTGAGTTGTGCAAACATCACTATACTCTAATTTTACAACATTTTCATACCCCCAAGGAAACCCTGTAACTGTTAGCGGTCACTCCCTTCTCCACACCTCCCTCAGCACTCCCACACCTAATCCACTGTGTCTATAAATTTGCCTATTTTGGACATTTTCGTATAAATGAAATCATACAATATGTGATCTTTTGTGACTAGGTTCTTTCACTGAGTATGTTTTCAAGATTTATATGTTATAACATGAATCAGTACTCGTTCCGTTTTATTGCCAAATAATAGTAGATTGTGTAGATATGTCACATTTTGTTTACCCATTCATCAGTTGATGGACGTTTGGGTTGTTTCCACTTTTTGGCTGTTATGAGTAATATTGCTATGAACATTCATGTACATGTTTTTGTAAATACATATATTTTCATTTCTCTTTGGTGTATATCTAGGAGTAGAATTACTGGTTCATGGTAACAATGTTTAACATTTTGAAGAGCTGCTAAACTGTTTTCCAAAGAATGTGTACCATATTACAATACCCACCAGCATTATGAGGGTTCCAATTTCTCCACATCCTCAACAACACTTGTTATTTTCTGTCTTTTTGATTGTAGCCATTCTGGTGGGTGTGAAGTGGTATCTTGTGGTTTTAATTTACATTTCCCTACTGGCTAATGATGTTGAGCATCTTTTTTCTTGTTTATAGCCATTTGTATATCTTCTTTGAAGAAATGTCTATTCAGATTCTCACTCACTTTTTCATTGGGTTATTTATCTTTTTATTATTGAATTGCAAGTGTTCTTTATATATTTTGGATACAAGTC